CACAGCAGGCCCTTGTGAAGCTGCTGTTAGGACCTGCAAGGGGTGAAGCCTTGGGTAGTTACAGCACTGAGGAGGGGGCAGGGCGGCGTTAGCCTTCCGGCAGGTCACCCCAGGCCGCACGCACGTGCTCACTGCAGACCCATCGCGGTGTGGACGCAGCTCCAAGACAAGCCCTCAGCCCTTCTTCCAACCCGACCTCTGCCCGCCCCACTCCCTCCGCAGACCTCCCGCAGCCCCCAGGGCATCGAGTCCCGACCGCCGTCAGGGCTCTGTCTGAGTCTTGCGGAGGTTTCCATTCCGATGCAGCAGCAGATGAGGGGTCTGGCGCAGGACACGTGTGGCACGCAGTGTAGGGTCATGGGCAGTGCAGGCAGCATGAGGTCACAGAACCTAACAGGGGGATGGCGGCAAAATGGGGAAGAGGGGCTTAGAGAGCAGGAAAGGTGTAAAGCCCACTGGGTCCCCCTCACCCACGTCAGGGGCTGCCCGACGTGCGTGCCAAGTGGCATGAAGGGCTCCTCTCAGCGCACGGTGGTGCCCAGGAAAACACCCGTGGCTGCTGCCTGATTCGGGCAGCAGGAGCGGCCTGGGCGTCCAGGACCCGAGGCATGAGCCTCAGGGACGGCAGAGTGGGCCTGGGCCGCGGGGGAGGAGCGGAGAAGGAGCCCCTGTTCTGAGGGATCTCGAGGGGGTCACAGCCCCGCATGCACGTGTTGTAGTGTTGCATCTGTCGCAGCAGTGGGGACTGCTGGCAGCCTGGCCGCATCCACGTGTGGCCCCAAGTTCCTCTGGTGCAGGAGGTGGATGCAAGGTCTCGTTCTGCGAGGGGAGATGGAGCAGGTTCCTCCCCCTCTGGGTGAAGGGGGCTTCTCCCCAGGAGCACAGACTCAGAATGGGTAAAGCACGCCCCAGCTCTGATGCCATCTCTGTCCCACCCCCCACCCTCCACCCCCCACCCTGTCTCAGGGGGAGGACATGGGGAGGAAGGAGACTTAGCCATAGAGGGGATGAAGTACAGATCCTCTTGTTCCAGGCGTGATTTCAGGGGCCACGCAGGTGTCCCTGCAGCCTCCAGTTCCTCGAGGAGGACAATCCTCCCTTTCCCCGCAGGAGGGGAGAGGCGGGCGTGCAAAGCCAGGCATGACTTGCTGTCTTACGCCGGCCCACGAGTTGGCCACAGAGCCCCCCTAAGGGCAGCTGGGGCTCGTCCTGACAGTCGTCGGAGTGGACTTTCTGGCAGCACCGGGTCCCACCCAGGCTGGCCGGCTGCTTGGCCTCGGCCGCGGAGACTGTCAGGGGCGGGCGTTCACGTGGGGCCTCCAGCCGAGAAGCCCCGTCCCCGCCCTTCCTCCAGTCCCCAGACCATGCCACCAAGACCCAGTTCCACACGTGTCAAGGGAAACCAGGTGCCTCCGTTGGCACTGTCCTGTTCAAGTCTTGGCCTGCAGGCTGGGGCTGCTTGAGAAGACCACTTGTGTCCAAAGAAATGAGTGTCACCTCAAAGCACTGCTGAGGGGTCCCAGGTCCCAGGGTAACAGAGACCTTCAAGCAGCTTTTTGCTCTGTAAATATCCAAGGGCCTGAGGTCCTTTCTGTTTGGTTAGAATTTAGGGGGACATCTTTGACACGGAGGAGGATGCTGCCCCTCCTTCCCGCCCACCCTGACCCTCAGCTTCGTCTCAGAGGGACAGTTCCTTGTCGAAGGAGCCACAGTGCTGCCCAGCCATGGCTCTCTCGTGTTCCTGAGCCCACAGTGCAGCGAGGTCGACGTGTCCAGAGCCCACCCTTCCCCAGGCCCCCTGGGACTGGAAGGACTGGCTTGCTGGGAAGAGACCTGAAACGGTGTGGGACTCTGTCTTCAAGCCACACACGCTGCGTGAAGGCTGGGGGAGCCTGCCTAGTTGTCTTCCTCAAAGGTCCCTTCCTGACGTACAGGGGAAGGACCAGACACCCGCTCACTCCGTGGATGTAAGTCGCGAATGCCCCCCTGAGAGTCCCCTCTGAGCAGCTGCTCCCCCCGCCCTCCTGGCAGGGCTGGGATTCGGACTCAAGCTGGCCACCAGCTTCTTACCCTCTTCTCGCTGGCAAAGATGTCCTTCCCTGGAGTCACCTGAAAGGGGCTTTGGTTGGAATCCCTTAATCTCTTTATGTCGAGCCAGAGACCGAGTTTAAACCCACGGTGGTTAAACTGGCCACGTTATTACCTGCCCACTAACTCCGTCAGGGCTTGGGCCGGTGGGCAGTGTCCCCAGGCCCTCCAGCCAGCTGAGGCCAAACACGGGCAGTGGTGTGTCTGAGAAGGCGGCCCAGGGGGCTGTCCCGGCCTGCGGGCCGGAGGGCCCATCGGGGTGGGGTCTGACCCCACCCTCCGCGAAGCCTTTCCCAGAGGACCCCAGCTGTTGAGATCCCCCGCCTCACCTGAGCCCAGTGGCTTGTTCCCCTGAGTCGTGCCACCTCCCCTAGGAGCCCTGCCTGCCTCTGCGACGGGACCCAGGGCCACAGCTCAGAGGCCTCCCGGGAGGCGGGGCGTGGGGGAGAGGAGCACAGGCGGTGCGGACGGCCCGCCATCTCCCATCAGACTCATGCGTGACCCACCCATCGTGGGTGAACTTTGGCAAATGACTTCCGCTTCCTGAACCTTGGTTTCCTCGTCTGTGAAGGCATTTCACACAGTGCCTGTCCAGGGTTGGCCTCAATAAAGGTGAACCATTATTATCCGTTATATTATTTCTCCTGGCTTTAAATGCTGGGACTATAAATAAATTTCATTTGGACAAGGAGAAAAGAAGCTCGCTGTTAAAAAAAAAAACAACAAGTGAGAACCACAGAGTTCCAAGCAACCCATTGTATATATTGCCACCCATAGCCAAGAAAAGGAAAAGGACTTTCCTTTTGGGATCTTAGCTTATCTCTTGTATGTCTCACTGGAGAAAAAGTGCTTTGTGGTCGAGGACCACACAGGGTTCACCTTTTAACTTCCCCCCCACCTCCCCGCTGGTCCCGTCCCACCGGACCCAGCAGCAGGCTGGGCGCACTGTGGGTTCCAGTGTGTCCTCCCTGGGCAAGATCTGATGACAAAGCGGCGGCCCGCCCACCCCGCATCTCCGTTCAGTCTTTGCTGACTCACCCCAGGTTCCAGTCATTGTATCATTAACTAATACACAGCAGACACCAATTCTGGGCCAGCCGCCGGGCCCTGCAAACCAAGGTGGCCACAGCTGTTCAGCTGTTCCTGAAGCAGATTTGCCCACGGCCTCAGGATTTGTTCTGATGCTCTGAGCGGCCTGGAGTTTCTGATCCCCAACAGACTCAGCTACCAGAATTCCCATGAAAGTTCCCCACATGTTAGAAGCAAAAAAAAACCCCGACCATCAGTTCACGAGTCCTGAAGGACCCAAAGGGCCTCCGTGGAGCAGCTCCTTCCTGTCACAGGGCAGAGATGGAGGCCCAAAATGGCCAAGGGCAGGGGCCGGACCAGAGCTCAGGGCTCCAGAAGCCAACACCCTGCTGGATGCTCTCCTGTGGTCTCATTATGTTGTCCGTGTGGGGAAGGAGGGGCGGCCCGGGGCAAAGGGGGCAGAGGCGGTAGGGAGCCTCCCGCACCCAGGACTGGCAACAACAGCCATCTGGGAGACGCTCCGAGATGCGTGGCGTAACTGGCTGCTCTGCCCTGGGTGTGTGCGTGGGTGGCATTTGCCATCGCAGTGGCCACCCTGCACTGGAGAACCGAGGGCAGGGGAGAGCCTGCAGAGAGCCCTGGGCCTGGGATCGGAAGAAAGGAGGACGGACTGGGGGCATTCACGACCGGGGAGAGGGGGCGGCGGGAATAGAAAATAAGCCACTGGTTTCACTCACCAGGGCCCGGCCAGACTGCTCCGCCTCCACCCTCAGGACCAGACTCCCTCCCCACGCACTGCCCAATGGGCTCAGCAGAATGGTCGGCCCCACGGTCACATCGCAATAGCTGGGAAGAGAGCGAGTCTTGCAGGTGTCAGAATCTTTGGGAAAGATGCATCTATGCCCCATCTTTCTGAGCCCACTCCTGGCAGCGTTCTCAGTGATTCTTCTAATTTATTAACACCCCCCTTTGGGCCCAGCTGGTAGAGGGCACCTGGTGGGCGAAGGGACGGGTGGGAGGGCCTGCCTTCCCGGAGGGGCTGCCGCTCCTGGGCAGGACGCAGAAGCTTGGAGCTATCCTCCCAGCCTGAAGTGCTCAGGCCGGGTAGCCTAATCTTGAAGGAGAACAAAATGACAATGGTGACATTTATGACACACTTTCTGCTACATGCCAGGATCTGGGCCAAAGGCTTGACCTGATTCCTTCTGGGAGAAACTGTTGTTTCTGGTCGTCTTCCTGATAACCGAGACCCAACAGTCAAGGCCAAGGTCCCCCAGCTATGATAACAGATGCAGATCCAAACGCTGGGGTCCGTGCCAAAGCTGTACATCGCACCGCTGCCCAGCTCCACCTCCCTGCCGCCCCCGCCGCCCCCCCCCCACCCCGCTGCTGTGTTGTCCTGCTCACCTGCCCTTTCACCCCTTCCAGGCTCTTTTGCACGTGGCCTTGAGGCTGGGCAAGGGTTCATCTCCAGTCTGCCCTCTGAGGAGACACTCAGAGTGGCTGGGGCGTCAGCAAGCTCGGGGCGCTCACTGGTGAACTGGACCTGGGGGCACAGCTCCCTCCGCCAGGAGCACTCTCGCACCTCGTTCGGTTCTGACCACAGGCCCAGGACATGTGCCATCATCCTTGATGCTCTGTGGGCAAGGACCGTGATGCTCAAAGGGGCCGTGTGACCTCCCTGAGGTCACACCAACTGAAAGTAGCAGAGCAGAAATCTGACCCGAAGTGTGGGCTCCTGCATCACCTTCCTGCCCAGCCACCTGTCTGCACCACCCACACTGCCCCGCGCCCCGGGCCAGGCGTGGGCAGGAGGGGAAGGCCACGCCCACCCAGCCTTGCTCCTCCCCCTCACTGACTACCTCCTCTCCTCTTCCTTCCAGTCCCCAGTGTTCATCGCCCAAGTTGGCCGGGACCTGGTCTCCCAGACGGAGGAGAAGCTCCTTCAGAGGCCCTGCAAAGAGCTCTTCTCCGCCTGTGCACAGTAAGTGTGCGCGGCCTACCCGCCCCTGCCCCCCGCAGGCCGGCCCCCTCCCTCCAGGCCCAGGGGCGTCAGGCCCCTCGGCCCCTCTGGCAGCCACATGCCCGCCTGTCGGGGCTGCCTCTAGCCTCTACCTGGAGCTCTGGGCACCGGGGCAGGTCTTTGGTGGCCAAGGGCCCCAGCCAAGCCGCCCAGATGTTTGTAGACTCCTTAAGAAGGAAAAAAGATACCAGGGGGCTGAGTCCAAAGAAAACATCTGCTTCAAAGGGTGTTGAAAGCAGTGGCTCTCCAGGCTGTTGAGACTGAGGAATGTGAAAAAATTTGACCCAGTCTGGGTGGTTTGGAAATCCTTCCCAGGCCCCCCAGACCCCCCACCGCTGCCACCACCCCGAGCGGGTGGCGCTGCTGCAGGGGCGACTGCGGGCTGCCTTCTCTGCCATGCCCCATCACCTCTGCGGGCCATGCTGCGACCCTTCTGGAGTAGGAGACAAGCCGGTGGCTCTGGTGCCAGCTGTGCGCCAATTAAGCCCCCACCCACCCCCTCACGCTCGCTACAAAGGCGTAACACACACCCATTCATGTGCCCACACGGGCCGCGCCCCGTAAGCTGACACGTGCATGCACGCAGATGTCTCTGCAGGCCAAGAGGCATCGGAGTCACACCCCCCACAGAGCTGGAGGGGCTGGAGGCCTTGTGTGTGCCTGTCCAGCCTTCGATCCACAGGCGTCAGCTGGGCATCTGCCATGTGCCTGGCACCGTGCTTGGTGCTGGGGAGATGCTGGCGAGCAGGAGCCCAGGCCTGGCTTTCCCAGAGCTCACCGCCAGGTGGGGAGGACAGGAAAGCCACACCCCCATGCCCTGGGAGCGTGGCAATGAGGCCAGACACTTGGAGAGGCCAGCCCAGGGCCCGGCCTGTGAGGTGCTGGGCAGGGACCCTCGTAGTAGAGACAGGCCTGGTGGCTGCCCTCTTGGAGATGGCCAAGGGTCAGGGCTGACAAGGGGGGAGGTCCCTGGGCTGTTCCCAAGGGAGTGGCCATTCTAGTGCCTGGTCCCAGCCCTGGTTTTCAAGTTTGGTAAGACACAGCCCCCAACCTGCCCCAACTCTGCGTGTCCCCTGCCTTCCTTGGTTCCCAAGTGCTGGGCCAGGTTGGTCACTGTTCTGCTTGTCAAAAGGAAGAAGCCTGTCCCTGCCTGCAGCCAGGCTCAGAATCCCCTAGGTCCGGCCGGGGCAGGCCCTCAGCAGGTGACCCGTACGTTCTGCCGCAGGGATGAACATATCCCAGTGGCTTTGCTGGCCCTGGACCAAATCCAGAGCCTGGGCCTCGGGGACCGCCATCCCACTCTGCCTCTACCCCCCACCATCTCAAAGTGCCTACCCCTCCCCTGTACCCACTTAAATTTGCCTCTGTTGTCATTTCAGCTCCTATCCCTTCTGCAGAGATGTCCCTGCTCCCTGCCCCCCGGACCTCAGTCAACTCTAATTCATAACATGCCCCTGGGGTCATTTATTGAATGGTTATTTATTGTTGTGAAGTCCCCAATCACGATGCCACCGCATGCTCACAGACGCACCCCAGACCTAGAGCGTGCCCACAGCAGAAACTCAGAACCTGAGTGCGCATCAGCCAGGCAACCTCAACCAACCTTCCAGGAGGGCAGGGCCTCCGGCCCCTGTGAGCTGGCATTTCTAAAGTCTCAGGATGGGCGAGGCCAGGTGTTAACCTGCTGGGTGTGGCTCTGCCCACCTGCGCGAGGTCAGGATGCTAAGATGTCTCCCTCTGTTCCCTCCGAGCCAGGTCTGTGCACGACTACCTGAGTGGAGAGCCCTTCCATGAGTACCTGGACAGCATGTATTTTGATCGCTTCCTCCAGTGGAAGTGGTTGGAAAGGTGAGCGCTCCCCGGCCCTCCCCACCCACCAGTGTGTGCCAGTGTTGGGGTGGGGGGAGGGGACAGGTTTTCACCTGCAAAGTCACATGAAAATCTGTCACCTCCGCAGACCGATGGTTCAGACAAAATTAACCGTCTCCTATGAATTAAGCTCTCGTGTTTCCTGGAAGCGCCCTGTGCTTATGAAAGTGTGCTGGCACACACCTTGCCCGTTCATGCACATGAACTCACAGCGTCTTGATGTCTTGTTTTGTTTTGTTTTGTCCTTGGGAATTCTTCCTCCACCAGCAAATGGAGAGCTGCCATCTTCTCTGAGTGAGCGGTGCATCCCTTATTTAACCCAATCCCCCTATCGACGGAGCAGTTCCGTGTGCAGCCTTTCCTAAGTAATGAAAAACTTTGTACATGTATCTGTACTTTTACAAGTACAATTGTAGAGATTCTTAGCGGAGGAATTTAGGAGTCAAAAAGCACCCATTTTAAACTGCGAGGGACGGCCACGGCGCCCTCCCCAAAAGCCGCCCCCAGTCCCAGCCCTGCTGGCACCCCAGGGCCTGCTTCTCGGTGCTGTTCGCTTTGCCACCCAGCAGCAAGGCTGAAGGCTGCTGTGCGTCAGGTGTCAACATGATTTCCTCTCATTTTCCTTTTCTTCTCTGTCAATGGATGAGACTGATGAGGCAGTTTCACGTTGCATTTGCTGCCTTCTTCTCTGCAAAGCGCTCCCACATGCACGTGGGGGAGCTGGCCAGGGAGCTGTGACGGACGAGGAAGGAGAGGCAGAGAGAGGATGTGGTGCAGCTGGCACCCGTCACCCAGCGGGCCAGCAGTGCGGCCAGGGGGTCCTGGCCAGGCCCCTGAGCTCCGTGCTCCACTCACCACAGGGTCCAGGATGTGCGGGGCAGGGGGTGCCCGTGCTGAAGCCGTGCTGGGCGGCATGGGTGGAGCGTCCCCTTCCTCCGCCTGGAGGCCTGGCGCTCGGGGCCCCTGGACACACCGTGGCTCCTGGGCAAGGAGCTCAGCTGTGCGCTAAGGCCCGTGCTGGCCGAGCGCCCGCAGATGCTCAGGACGCCGCACGACGGAAACCCTCCAGAAACCCCTTGCCCAGCCCCGCACCGCCCCGTCCACTTCAGGAAGCCTGGAGGAAGAGCAGACTGCCCATCAGCCCCCCGAGGACGATTCTCCGTGCCCCACCCACCCCGCCCCACGGGGATGACAGCGTGTGAGGTGGACGGCCTTCTCTGTCACCCACGGCTGCCGCTGGCCCACTTGCCCCTGCACGCCATGGCTGCAGGGGAGACCGAGGCACGCAGGGCCGGGCCAGCCGTCTGCTGGCAGCAGGGAGCCCCCAGCCCCCGAGGGGCTGGGAAGGGCCGCTCACCTCTCCACACCCCATCTTTCAGCGGGGTAATCATAGGGCCAGCCTTGTCAGCCGGGGTGACAGTGAGGTGACATCAGCAGCACGTGCCTAGAACAAGGCCGGCCATTTGGCCGCAGGAGGTCAGCTGCTGAATACGGCTGTGGTCATCCCCGGGAGCGTCAGTGTCAGCGCGGCCGTCCTCCGCTTGCGTCTGGAGTTGGAAGGAGCAGCTGACCCCAGCGGAGGTTCAGTCCCGGTCCTGATGATCACGGGGCAGCGGTGGGATGTATTCATTGAGTCCCTCCAGCATAGTGGAGCCCTGGGCTGCGTAACACGTGACCCTAATCTGCACCCACTTTCCCTGGGGTCGCTAGTGTGGGGTCAGGATGCCGAATGTGGGCTCTGCCACAGGCTGTCTGGACTCCAATTCCAGCCTCAGCGCTTATCAGCCATGACCTCGGGCAACTCATTTTACCTCCCAGAGCCTAAGCGTTCTCACCTGCAGAATGGGGACAATGATAGCCTCGCCTGTCAAGCCGGCGTGGGATGGCGTGAGCCCCTGTGCAGCGTGCTTCCAGTACTGGAGCTGTTACCACCGCCGGGAGCCCTCAGAGAGGGCCGCGTCCCTTATTCCTAGAGTTCTAATGTTGACACCTGACGCGCAGCAGCCTTCAGAAAGCTTTTGGATACAAATGCCGCTTCAATAGCTCCATTTCATTGAAGAGGCCAGGCTCAGAGAGGTTGATGGACTGGTCCTGGGTCACACAGCAGGGGCCTGGCAAGGCTGGGGCCTGAACTCCAGGTCTTCACTCAAGTCCTCCACCGTTAGCCCACCCAGCACTCCCGTCGTAATACAGTTCTTGAGCTCTGGTCCCTGACTTTCATTTTTCTTGTCTGTACCAAGCCCTTGGGGTGGAGAAATGGACTTTTTAAGTCTGAGAAGTTGAGCTCTTTTGCCTTAAGTTGGTGAAGCCCGTAGGGCAGAATCCTGGCCTAGAAATGTCCTAATGACTGACAACACCCTGTCTTCTCCTCTTAAAAAAAAAAAAAAAAAATCTTTTTTGTTTCTCCGCTACCAAAATCATGGCCCCTTAGTACTATACTGTTGAAATATTAAAGGGATTTTTTTTCCCTCCCAAGGTTAACCAAGAAATTCCTCAGAAATTGTATTACACTCGCTTCCCCCAGCAGAGGAGTTCTGCGGTGATGTCGGCCGGCTGTTTGTTCTCCGTGTGTCGTAAACTGGCAGGCCCGGCGCCTTCATGTGGTTTCGAGGGCAGCTGTAGGAAGCGCCCCCCGGGCGCGTGGCGGGCGCAGGCGCAGGGCGGTCCCCCCACCCCACCCGCCCCGGGGCCCTGGCTGCTCCTGTGCAGGAGAAAGACGCGCCGCCGTCCGGCCGAGGAGAGGCCCGCGGAGGGGCGGCCCCGAGCGGCCGGCAGGGCTGGGCCCCGCCCCCTGAAGAAACCGGGGAGGAGGGGGTGGTGGCAGTGGGCCCCGGCAGCGTCAGGGGGCGCCCCGGGCTTTCAGGGCCGTCCGGTAAAGCCCACGCTCTCCAGGACCCAGCAGCCAGACGGGTTTCCCGGCAAGATTCACTCCGCAGCGGCTGGGCGACCGGGGGCTCACCGTCTTCCTTGAGCTGACCCAGTTCTCGGGCGATTCCGTCTCCGTCCACCCTCCGCCCCAGTCAGGGCTCTTGGGGTGCGGAGGGGAGGTGCTCAGAAAGGGTTCAGGAGCTCCAAGGGCCAGTTTTAACATGGCAAAGCTGATTGCTTGTCATTCGCTCACCGGCTGACAGGTTGTTTCCATACCTGGTCTGGTATGAATAATGCTGCAGTGAACACTGCGGGGGTTGTAAAATGTGGCGCACATGCGCGCGCACACACGCTGGAATAGTATTAAGCCTTTAAAAAGAAGGAAACCCTGCCATTTTATGACAGCATGGATCAACTTGGAGGCCGCTTGCTAAGTGATACAAGCCAGACACAGAAAGACAAGCACCACATGACCTCACTTGTATGTGGAATCCAAGTCAAACTCCTAGAAGCAGCGAGCAGAGCAGAACGCCCGCGGCTGCTGGGCGGTGAGGGGCGGAGCCGGAGGGGATGCTGGGCAGGGGCTGCAGAGTGTCAGGCCGGGCGAGTGAGTTCTGGGGGCCTGCATACAATGTGGTGACAGGAGTTAAATCCTCTGTTGCGTGCCTGACATGTGCTCAGAGGGTAGATCTTAAGTATTCTCACCAGAAAGGGGGAGAGAGAGAGAGACCAAGTGATTACGGCTTCCTCAATTCCGCTTTTGGCAGAGGGTTCTTCTAGTGTTGGAGCTCTGGGGAAACAGAGTGAGGGGACTTGGCGCGTGGGAAGGCCCGGGGTGTGGCGGTCCTGCTAGGTGGCAGGTGTGGGGAGGGCCGGCCTCTGGTCTCAGGCACGTCCTCCCGGGATGCTGAACCCCTGTGGCTCCTGGCCCCTCCCCTCTCCCTGCGCAGGGTCCCAGCTTCCTGCAGAGTTTAGGCACCTGATTAGCCTATGGGAGAGAGGGGAACCACAGGGGAAAGTCCCGCGGGAAGCTGCTTTGGCTCACCTGCTTTGGCTCACGTTCTCCAAGCCTTCTGCTTTTCTCCCAGGCTGCAGGGCGCCAAGGGCAGGTGGCCTGGGGTGCAAACACCCAGCCCCAAAGGAAGGCCTTGAGGGCCCCCTCGCAGGGATTCCTGGGGGTCCCTGCATCATGGAATTGTGCCTTGCATGGGCCACTTCAACGCCCCTGGTTATACATCTTAACACCATGATCCTTGCTTTTTTTCCAGGCAACCGGTCACCAAAAACACTTTCAGGCAGTACCGAGTGCTGGGGAAAGGGGGCTTCGGGGAGGTGAGTGAATGGCCACGTGTCCGTTGAAAGTTCCCGTAACTCTAGTCACCTTTCCTGTCCCTTTGGGGCCTGCGAGAGGTGTTCCTGGTATTTGCTGGTCGTGGGCCCCTGGTGGAGAGACGGGGCCTTAGGGAGGGTCAGGGGTGTGGGAAGAGGGGAGGGGGGTGTGGAGTAGCCTCGGGCAGGGGTCACGTCTGGAGAGGAGCAACAAGCGCCCTTGGCTGTGTGTGTAGGGAGAAGGGAGGGCGTGAGGGCCGGTGACACTGGTACCGTGCTCCGCTGTGCCCCCTCTGATCTTCTCCACAGCGAGGCAAGCCTGGGGGTTCACACCTGGAGAAGGGGAAAGTCGGGCTTCGGGGTGGCTGGGTGGCCCACAGGCAGTGGCGGGCAGAACTAATGCCGGGACCGAGTGCCCTGTTTCCCGTTCCTCTGCATTATAAACTCGGGGTTCTCGGGGCCTTCCATCACTGATCCCCCAACAAGCATCTTTTAGCTGCAGCTGGTACTTGAAAGTGCCCAGCTGGCAATGGTTGCAACTGGTTGGAAGCTTAGGACAGAAAACCAAGTTGCCTCAGAGAGACAGACAGGGCTTTCGGCCTCAGCATCCAAACAGGGCTGTGAACGGCACTCGGTGGGAAGGGCCCGTGCTGCACCTTCCGGGGCTGGGATCCGCCTCTGGGGAAGAGGAGGGAGGGCCCTGAAGCCCCATCGGTGTGGGGGGTTGGGGAGGGCCGGGCAGGCCTCACGGATCCCCCGGCCGTGGCCTCTTTCTCCCACCGCAGGTCTGCGCCTGCCAGGTTCGGGCCACGGGTAAAATGTACGCCTGCAAGCGCTTGGAGAAGAAGAGGATCAAAAAGAGGAAGGGGGAGTCCATGGCCCTCAACGAGAAGCAGATCCTAGAGAAGGTCAACAGCCGGTTTGTGGTGAGTGTTCAGGGCCTAGCGGCAGGCCACCTGCAAGTGACCGGGGCGTCCGTCCCTCGGGAAGCGATGGTCCTCCAGTGTGGCAGCTGCCCCGCCCCAGGGAAATGGAATGTGGAGAAGAATACCTGCAGAAAGGCAGCCAGACCCCAAGTCACCTCCATCCCATGGCCCCTCAGAGGCAGTGGTGGCTGACTTGGTCCTGTCACTAGGCTACCCGGGTACCCCTCTGTGTGGGACCAAGGCCGCTGTTCTGCAGGACCGCCCTGTAAACCCCTCGGTGGACAGAGACGCCCCCTGGGGTCCATCCGAGGAGCGCTGTTTCCACAGCCCCCTGCAGGGGGGTTCCCCCATGGCGGACACCCCTGTGTCAGTTTCCTGACGCGGGCACATCGCTGTGCTGCTCTGTCCCAGCTACGCTCTGCGGCAGCAACAAGGTTTCCCGCCCTGGCTGGTGTGGCTCAGTGGATAGAGCGCTGGCCTGAGAACTAAGTTACCCAAGTCACAGTCGCTGCAAACAGCGAAGACCCATCTGTCCCCATACGGCGTCCCATCAGGTCAGGCCGCCCTGCTCCCCCGACAGCCACCCCCCTGGAGCCCCGAAGTGTGTGCCAAGGGGCACACCCCTCCTCGCCACCCACAGCCCGCTGGCCAGACTAGTTCCTGCAAGAGACAAGCCAGCTGCGGGAAACGCAGGGCAGGACCTGGCTACTTGGTCAGCTCTGAATGCCTCTGCCACGGTCACTGTAAAAAGCCGTCTGTGTGTGTGAGGTAGACGTCCAACAGCACAGACGGCACAAAGTGGAAACAGAAACCTCCGTCTCTGAGCAGCCACGCCACCATCATTATTTCTAGCCGGTGGTACCTTACCAGGCCTCTTAGGCTGCAACATTTTTCCCCTTAAAATGTAGCTTTTTAAAAACCATCCAGACCTATAGCTGTGCCCTTCCCTTGATACACAGGGAAGGGAGAAGCCCTCGCCGGCGTGGCCGTCCCCGCAGACAGAGGGCGCTCCGGCCTTGAACCCACTGCGCGCCAGGCTGGGACCTGTCCCCGCTCACCCTGTGGTGGGTGTCTGTGACAGTGCATTCCTCGGCAGAAGGGCTGCTGTGTCAGAGGGCGCAGCATCTCCCGTTTGGTAGCTGTTCCCAAAGGGCCGTCCACCACGGTCGCCCCGATTAAACTACCAGCTGAGTGTGAGAACAAGCCATGCCGTTGGCCTGGTGCTTCCCACATTCCCCAGAGGGGGTGGCTTTGCAAGGGGACCAAAGTGTGTCTCGCCAGGTCTCATCCCAGGCTGTCCCCGCTGCCAGCCCCACCCAAGCGTGGCGGCGCCACATGGGAGGCAGTGCCACGTGGCAGGCCGTGGTCCAGGCCGGCACCGGCCATCATTTTGACTGTAGGCCTCCGGGTCCAGAACCTTCCTCTGTGCTGCTGCCCCCTTCAATAGGGACCCCTGGTCACCGCCTCCACGCTGGCCGGGGAGCCCTCAGGGGCGATGCTGGCTCCTTCGGGGGTCAGTGGCGGTGGGTCCTCCTCAGGGAAAGGGCTGCAGTGTCACATCTTCAAGGGCCTGGACTTCCTCTGCTGTGCCCTGTCCTCTGCCTCTAGAGGGGCGTTCCCTCAGCGCCCCTCTTGGGGTCCCTCCTCACAGTCACCGGGCAGGTGTGGGGTTGGGAGCAGCGGTGGCTGGCGCCCGAGCACAGTTCCCAGAGCTCTGTCACTTTCGGTGCCGTTCTCTCTCCTTTCCTCAGAAATGACCCTTTTGCTCCTTGTGTCTGCGCCCAAGTTTTGTGGCACAGCTTGTCCCCAACCTGGTCCACGCAGCCAGATTTCATCTGTACCAGCCCCTAAGTGGGGACCCTGCCTTGCCCCTCCCCTGCTAGCCCACGGCCCCACTCACGGAGCTTTGGGTGGCTCCACGGTCTCCGTCAGCGAGGGACTGGACCCTCTCTGTCGATGGTCCCTCTGACCAGTTGTGTCCTGTGTGCGAGAGTCTTGGCCAAGTTGTGCTCTGCTTCGAGAAGGCCCCCTGGCCACCTGCCCAGCCCACTGATGGCATCCCTGCGCTAACGATGCCCAGAAAGCACACGGGCCCTGCTGTCCTTGACCAGCCAGCAAGGCAACTCAGCTTTGATCCACTGACACACTCGTGCTTTTGTGATGTAAACACAGACATGCCTTCCTGGCAGGACCCTGAAACAGCAGGGGACAGTCTGCCCCTCCCCCTTTGCCTCCGCACCTGGAACCTGCGCCAGCTGAGGGGCAGTGGGCGGGGCACTCGGAGGCTGTCTGGATTCAGGGGCGGCTGGCACGAAATCGCTGCCACCCCCCTAGTGCAGCCCACCACCCCGCTTCAAGGACCTGAGGGGGCAGGGCGGCAGTGGGGGGCGGTTGCAGAACCTCATCTCGGTGCTGTCTTGTGCTCCCAGGTCAACCTGGCCTACGCCTACGAGACCAAGGACGCGCTCTGCTTGGTTCTGACCATCATGAACGGGGGCGACCTGAAGTTCCACATCTACAACATGGGGAACCCCGGCTTCGAGGAGGAGCGAGCCTTGTTCTATGCAGCAGAGATCCTGTGCGGCTTGGAAGACCTACACCTCGAGAACACCGTCTACAGGTGAGCGGCTCCCCCTGTTCTTCTGTCTGAGGCTGAGTGGGCGGGGACCCATTCCTTCCTGGAAACTGAGGCCTGGTTACTGCTCTTGCAGGTGAGGGCGCTTGAGTCGGACAGACTCCCACCCTGAGACTGACTAAGGGAGGTGGGTTGCTCGGGGCGCCCAGACATCCTGGCACCCGGTCCCCTCCAAGCCGTGCCCGGAGTAGCTCAGCAGAGCCTGGTGGCTGTGACCCAGCCCCAGGAAGGCCTTAGTAGACCTTTGTCCCACGCTGCCCGCCTCGGACAGCGGTCCAGATTCTGTGAACAGCGGCCTTCAAACTTGTCTCACATCCCCCTGCAAAGATTCTGAAAATCTGTGCCCTTGTACATTTTAAGAATTCTGAAATAGTCCATCATATGTTTAAGTAGTAGCTAATATTGATATTTTGAAATTGAACAGTTACTTCATATTTTTAAAGGTATCCGGTGGGATCTAATTGCTGGAGTAAATCGAGTTCCACCATCATTTATCTAAAAAAAAATAAAAATACATAAACCTCTTTAATGGTGAGGAATTTCCTACCATTTTCTTTTCTATTCCCCTCCTTCCTCACAAAATGTCATTATAATGTAGTATATGTAATATATTTTTTGCCTAAAAGTCTTTCGTTGAAATATGTGGCTACATATAAGATTTCCTTTTAATTTCCTTTGACCATAAGGCTCTAAGTGTTAGAGTAACTTCTTCTGTTGAGTTGCCATTATAATTATTACCGGTAGGTCCTGCTTCTAGTGGGGACCCTAGGGTTTTACACCTGGAGCAGACACCGTCCTAATTAATCTTCCATCTTGTGGGAGAAGAGCTGTCGAGAAAGGGCAGGCGGCGGGGGGCCCCACGGAAGCCAGGGCGTCCTGGTGGTAAGGACCTGAACAGCCCCACTCTTGAAACTGCCAGCAAGTGGGAGTCTCCTTGGCAGCCCCCACGGACCCCCAGGCACACACAGCCTGGTGTGGAGACCTTTGCCATGGGGCTCTTGGTGGAGGTTTTCTTGGGAGACCAGGGAGGCTTTGAAAACCAGAAGAGGGTCTAGATGCCACGCCCTCCCGCTACCCCATTGCCCCAGCTGTGATTTTGTTCTGTCTTCGTTCAAGTGAGAAGAGAATCAGAACCGTTTTCCTAAGGGCTGAAAAAAGAATCCTCCATTTGATTGCCTTTCACTTAAAAAAAGGGAGGGGGCAGCTTTCCAAGTTCAAGCTCAACTACTTGTCTTGCCTGCTGTGGGCCCTGGGTCTGGCCTGTGCCCACTGGACAGCTGGTTTATTGAAACATTGGTTCTTGCCCTTCTTTGGCATTGTCAACACATCAAAAGAATGTAAATTAAATAACAGCAGCAAAAAAAATATATTTTGTAATAAATAACTGCATACAAACACCAGTTAGCACTGTGGAGGCTGCTCGCTGGATCTGGGTACTGTGGCCACTCCCCAGGGACAGCTGCCGTCGGTTAAATAAATGAAGCCAGTTGGCTAAGGACCAGCCCTCAGTCCAGATGCCATGTCGTGGCCCAGTGGCTTACCTGGGTTACCTACGGGCTGTTCGTTTACCCTTGGGGAGGCCGTTCCCTAGTAAAACCAGATATTGCTGCTGCCTCTTCCCCCTCCTGGGAACGGAGAGGTCCCCTTTCTTAAGAGCACGATTGTGTCACCACACAGAAGGCAGACATTAGGGACAGGAAGAGGTGGCCACACCTACAGCCATGCCTTCTGGCTGTGCTGCTCCCAGGCTGTCACTCGGCTGGAGTCGGGAGATGTGCCAGGCTCCCGGGGCGGGTCACATGCTGAGAGGGTCCTTCTCCTGGGGCGGCCATCCTCTTCCCCACAACTTCCTGTCCCAGTTCCACAGCTGCTGCTTTGTTCTCAGAAACTTCTGTTCCTTTATTCCCGGGCCCTTCTCTGCTGTCAGGGCACCCCAGGGCATCCTGCGACCTTGGGGTCTTCCCAGCCCTGGAGGGGTCTGTCGCCACCCCAGCCAGAGGTATTCTCAGCCCTGGGGGCCGCAGACAAGAGCCAGGCCCCGCCTTTGCCTAACCTCCTTCCTAGTCGTTCTCCAGGGTTGAGGAGATGCCTATGGCAATCAGTGGGAGGAGAGAAATTAGCCCAGGGTCATCTCAGCTGGAGACCAGGCAACCCGAGCGGAGGGGTGGAGAGGAAACACAGGTCTGGCTGGCCCACAGGGCTCGGCCCAGGCTCAGGGTGCCTTTGAACGCCCACACTCACATGCTTGTGGTCTCTCCCTTTCAGAGATTTGAAGCCCGAAAATATCCTGTTAGACGATTATGGTAAGTCAGGGAGTGGCTTGGAAGATCCTTTTCCTACTCTGTTGCTGAGGTGAGCATCGCAACCCAAAGCCGAGGGCCTCTCAGAGACTCAGGCAGCAACCCTGGGCCCACCGGGGGGCAGGGGGCAAGCAGAGCGGAGGACCCACTCTCTGTCCTCCGTCCTGAGAACCCGGAGAAGGCAGTGGGTATGGATGCAGCTCCTACTTGGAGAAGAAGCAATGAGGCTGGACAGAGAGGGGAGAGCGGTGAGGGGCGCAGGGGAATGAGATGAGAGGCCAGAGTTGCAGAGGTGTTGGGCAAATACTGAACTCACACAGCTTCTCTGAACCTCATGTTTCTTGCTTTTAAGGGAAACAGCGAGTGCTGCCCTGCCAGCTTCAGAGGCTGGGGGTGGTGGAGAGGCTCTGACAGGACAGCCTGAGGGGGAGCGGCTTTGCCAGCCCCAGGCGGCTACAAACGTATTAGTCATTAGTCCTTGCGCATCGCCGTTGTCATTTTCTCGCACGGGCAGCAAGGACAGCCCCAGCAACCCCTCGCAACTGCTCGGCCCTGCACTCAGTGGCGGGGGATGGCTTGAGGGGCGGGGGTGCCTGGCTGGCATCCCTGTGCCCATTTTACAGATGGCAAGATTAAGGCTCACAGGAGCCAAGCTGCCAAGGTCACCCAGCAACATCAGTGGGGAGCTGAGCTCAGAGACCAGGGCCCCTCGGCCTGTCGGTGGCCTGGTGATGCTGCCACATGGAGCAGTGGGCAGAGGGCCCAGGGCCCACGGGGCTCCTGTCCCGGCGGGTCTCAGACCCATGCCCACCACTGACCTGCGTCCCCGTGGCTGGAATCCAGGTGGTCCATTCACCCTTTCCTGCCTTTGTCAGGGGTCGCTGGGCTGGGGGACAATGCTCCAACCTGGCCCGGGTCCCAATCACTGGGCCTTGCTGGGGTCCCAGCTGCGGGGGCCCTCGCATCCTCAGATGGGGAAAAGTGTTCCTCCCTGCAGGATCAGATATGGCGTGACCCCCGACCCTGCCCCAGGTGGGCTACCAGGTGAGACGATGCCAAGGCCAAACTCGGAGCATGGCATCGTCCCTGCTTCAGGGGTCCGGCCGGGGACCAGGGTCTCTAATCCAGCCCCACCCCCCCGTCTCCGGGGGCCTGGGCACCCTCCCGCCCTGCTTCTCCAATGGGAGAAACGACCTCCAGAGGCCATCTGGGCAAGGCAGGAAGTTGCTTCCCCAATTGCTTTATAATTTTTCCCCTTAAGCAAATTGTTGCAAAATGTCAGGAGAATCTCACATTTTTTCCATGAAGCAATCCCAGCATCGGGCCAAGGCGTTTTAAACTCCGTGACCTCAGCCTTCCAAGAAGCCCATTAGAGCATTTTATGAGGCAGGTCAACCAACGTCCGGCCAAATGCAGGCGTCCCTCTGCATCTGTGTGTTCTCCCCCCAAAGACTAACGATTCACCCACAGCCTGCGACACCTGGACCCTCTCAGGGGCCCACAGTCGCCTGTGATGATAGATTGGGACCCCTACTTCATGGGACAGACAAAAACAGAGTCCCAGGGCCTTGCCCCAGGCCACGCGGCAAGACCACGGCCCTGCCCAGGGTGGGCCCGCCTCAGGCGACCTCCCAAGCCCGCTGACCCTCCTCTTCCCCTCAGGGCATATCAGGATCTCCGACCTGGGCCTGGCTGTGAAGATCCCCGAGGGAGACCTGATCCGCGGCCGGGTGGGCACTGTGGGCTACATGGGTGAGTGCGGGTGCGGCCCCTCCCTGAGCACGGCCCCACCCCTGGAGTCCCTGGCCTCTTTGGACGACTCTGATCGGAAGCAGGCGCTCAGTGGGAGGTGGGAGGTCTTAGCCGGGGCGGGGGGCCTGGAGGGGGCCCCAGAGTGCGACTTGACTAAACCAAGCTCTCTGCAACCCCCCACCCCAGCCCCCTGCATCCAGAGCCAGTCCACTCTCGGGGTTAGTGGGCGGGGCTGGCCCACAGCAATGCTCAGGAGGAGGTGCATTTGATGTAAGGGTCCAGCGGGCAGGTGGACAGCCTTTTCGGGGGACCTCCGAGAGGAGGGAGGGCATTAGGATGGGCTAAGAAGGGCGAGGAGCATACCTCCTGTGTGCCACCAGGCACGACTCAGCGGGAAGCAACCTTGGGCTCCCTGCCCTCTGCCCCTGGGCCAGGTCGGAGACTGCGGCTGCAGGGGCGAGACCTGGAGCTACAGCCGGCCCCCAGGAACCTCCCTTCCAATTAGGGGTGCCCCCTGGGCCTCCTCCTACATACCTCACACACATGTGCCCACTCACCCCCGGATACAGGGGGCTCAGGAAGCTCTGGGGGCTAGAGATGCTGTTGTCCTCTGCCAGGCTCATGCCAATAGCATACACACAGGATTCTGTATGTTGTCCTGTGCTAGAGAGTCCTTTTCAAAATGCATGACATTTGGGAACCTGTGGGGTATGTGTCTGAGTGTATTGACTGTGTGTATACTCATGCAAATTCGGGCAGATGGATGGATGGACAGATGATAGATGGGTAGATGGATAGATAGATGATTGATGGATAGATCTATCTGCACACCTTTGTACACACCTGTCTGCATCTGTCTGTCTCATCTTGTACACCATGGCAAGCATCTGTGTGCACAACCTCCGTGGTGTGCATACGAGCACATGTGTGGATGCGTGTGTGGCCAGCTGATGACATGTAACTCTTTTGAGCTTCTGTGATGAATCTGTAAGTCATTTTATCAAAATAGTAGGGAACCCATAGTGAGATGCTGTTTGCATTTCAGACAAATTTAAATCATCTTTGATTTGGGGGAATATACCTTCATTGATTTAAATGTATATGCCACACCCACTGTGTGCCAGGTGTCATACCTGTTTCAGGAACACAGCAGTGAATAAGGCAGCTCACATTCTTGTGGGGAGACATCGAGGGAACAGGCCATTTCTCCACTGTGGCCAGCCACTGAAGCCAGTCAGAGTCCTTTGGGAGCACAGAGGAGGGCAGTCAGGGCAGTCAGGGCAGGCTCCCTGGAGGAGGTAATATGTAGAGCAGTTGGTGAGTAGGAGTCCTCAGAGGGCAGCTCTCCCAGCTGCGAAGCTCCAGGCCTTCTGTGTGCAGCAGCATTGTTCATGGGAGCAGGGTGCCTGGAGCCAGGATGGCCTGAGTCGCAGCCCTAAGCCCAGGTGCCCGGGCTCTGTCCGGTCTCTCACCTCTCCTCGCTCCCCTCCTCCACCCCCAGCTCCCGAGGTCCTGAACAACCAGAGATACGGCCTGAGCCCTGACTACTGGGGTCTGGGCTGCCTCATCTATGAGATGATTGAGGGCCAGTCACCGTTCCGAGGCCGCAAGGAGAAGGTGAAGCGGGAGGAGGTGGACCGCCGGGTCCTGGAGACAGAGGAGGCGTACTCCCACAAGTTCTCCGAGGAGGCCAAGTCCATCTGCAAAATGGTGAGCTCCTGGGGGCCAGATGCTGTCCCCAGGCCCCCTGTCCAGCGGTGGCTCCCCTCCCCCCACCTTTCTCCCCACCGAGAACAGCAAACAGGCTGAGGAGGACAGGACCAGGGCCCACTAGGGCGTGGGCGGTGAAGCCACCAAGCCAGAGGAGCCGGCACTGCTTGCTGGGCACTGGGTGGTTGGCAAAGGCTCCCGGAGGAAGCCTGGGGTGCGGGCAGGGTGGCCCATGACAGCGGGAGGGGGCTGAGCATATAGCATGACACCCTCACATCCAACTTTGCAGGGGAGGTCAGCATAGGGGAGTAAGAAGCTGATCCCAGCTGATCCCCAAGATACAAGGGGTCTTGGGCCAAGCCTCTACCTTCCCTGCATGCTGGCCTGACGCAGGGATATTTTCAGCCTTCGAACACCTTATAACCAAGTTTTCCATCCACCAAACGGAGTGCTGGTCACACAGTGGAACGCTTGTAGCATCTGTGCTTGTGGGATTTGACCTGTCCAGGCAGGCGCATGTGGAAGTGGCGCTGAGGCCAGCGGGTGGCGCCCAGACTCGGAGCCGGGAAGCCAGATGGAGGACAGAGTGACAGAAGCCATCGAGAGTGGGGCTGGGAGAGAGTCCACCCCCAAACCACTGCTTTTCCCCTCAGCCCAAGGGGCCCGCGCCTGGGCAGGGGCTCCGGGGAACGGCCACTCTGCCCCTGCTCCCAGGCTCCCGGGCCCCGCCGCGCCCCGTGGGGCCCTCCTCCCTGCGGTGCCCCGCGTGGCTGGGCTGGCACCCGCACCGCAGGCAGCTGCCCCCTAAGGCCAGCCCCAGGGGCACAGAGGGGCACAGGGGCACAGAGGAAGCACACAGGCTTCCTCTCCCGGGTGCTGTGGCACCCGGAGCAGCCGACAGTCAGTGGTCCGGCTGGACCTCCGCCTCTGAATTGTGTGCCAAAACAACCAGGCCGGCGTGTAGAGACGGGCAGGCCCCGGAGCCGATGGAAAGTAGCCGAGCTGCTGCTGCTGGATGCCACTGGAAACCCTGAGGCCACTGGACAGGGGGCCCAGGAACCATCTGGCCTAGCTCCCCTGCCCCAGGAGGCCCCTCTCCTGGGCCCATCCTTGCGCCACTTGACTGCTTCCTCTCCAGCTTCCGCCTGATGTCACAGAGCCCTGGGAAGAAAGATTAGGGCTAGATCTGCCTTTTTCTTTTTAAGACTTCATTTATTTATTTTTGGAGAGAGGGAAAGGAAGGGATAAAGAGAGGGAGAGAGACATCAATGTGTGGTTGCCTCTCAAGTGTCCCTACTGGGACCTGGCCCACAACCCAGGATGTGCCCTGACTGGGAATTGAACTGGTGACCCTTTGGTTCATAGGCCAGCCCTCAATCCACTGAGCCACACCAGCCAGGGCTAGATCTGCCATTCAACCACTTCAACAAAAGAGGACACTGTTCTGTCGTTTGCATGTGTGAGAGACACAGAGGAAGGGATGTGTGTACACATGCAAACGCACCCTGGAACCACGGGCCTGGGGCCAGCTGTGGCTGGGCGCCTGCCCGCATGCCTGGGGCCTCCAAGAGAGCAGGTCGTCATAGCCGTAGAGTTGGGGGGAGACAGGAGAGGGAGATGGGACTGTGGGCTCCTAGAGGTGTCTGGAAACTGGGGTACATGTGCTAACGATGCTTGTTTATGTCAGGGTGAGGTCTCTCTCCAGTGGAACCAAAGAGGGAGGTCAGGGCACCGCCAGATGTCCCAGACTGGGGTCGGGGATTCAGAGAAGCAGGTCTTGAGCAACCCCAACAGGGACATAGATGTGCTAAGAGGACAGAAATGCACGAGGCCCCCCTCCTTGCTGGTAGTTGTCGCTCCAACACTTTGGCTTTGCGACACCAGACCAGGGTCATGGCTGTTCCTCTGCTGCCCCCTGGTGTTCACTGAGAGAAAGTCAGGGGCCAAGCCCGGGGATCCCAGTGGGCCTGGGCTCTTGAGTACGAAGTGTCACACCAAAGTCCCCTCATCTTTCTTAGCTGGACGAATAGCCAGAAGTATTGGGTCTCTGGTCTAGGGCTCCTTCTGTGTCCTTCATCACAGTCCATCTGGTCTGGCAGCCAGGTTTTCCCTGTGCCCTGCAACGGGTACTAGCCCAGGACACCGCCGGGCTTGACTAAGGAGACCGTGGAGGCCCTGGGCAGCTCCGACCCTGCCTGCTGGAGAAGGCCTCCCCACACCCAGCAGGGAGGCTGGGCCCTGGCCCCCAGACTCTGCCCCTCCCTCCATCTTGGTGGCCACAAGACCTTTCCCACTGTTCCTGGGTCCAGAAATGTATGCATGGCACTGCCCTCCCTCCAGAGCCCAGTGTCTAGGCCCCAACCTCAGCCCCCGCCTTCCTTCGGCCCCTGCTGAGTCCCAGATGTGGTCCTGCCCACCCTCTCCAGCCCCCTCCTTCTGGCTGCTCAGCCTCCCTGACCCCCAGCTCACAGCCAACTTACACTCTCTGACCCGGCAGTGTTGTACCTGTGTTGCCTTGATGGGCCCTCCAAACCTGATTTTGCTGAGGCCAGGCCCTCGCTGTCCTCCCTTCCTCCTTATCCCCACCCCCCACAGTGGTTTGCACCCAGGTTCAAGACTACAACATACTTGTAAGTTCAGTAAATGGACGAGAGACCTACAGACAGAGCCCTTGCCCTTTGTAAGTTACCTGTAGCAGAAGGTGGCACCAGCCCAGTAAGGCTCCATGGGTGCTCAGCATGCTCGGGTATCGGGCACATGGCCACAGGGAGATGCTCCACTGGGGGCCCAGGCACACATGCACCGTGAACGGGGGGCCACGGAGCCCGCTGCAGCTCGGGGCCACCCTGAAACAAGGCCTGACAGGCCCGGGCAGTGTTGCTTGGGGACCTGGGGGCGCGCAGGCTGGAGAGGGCTGGAGGAGGGACATCTGGGAGTCTCGGAGACGCGCCTATGACAGGGAGACAACCTCAGGTCCATCCTCCCAGTGGAGAAAAGGCCCGCCAGACATGGCCTCATGGGACTCTGTCTTGTCACAGCTACTCACCAAAGACCCAAAGCAGAGGCTGGGCTGCAGGGAGGAGGGGGCCGCAGAGGTCAAGCGACACCCCTTCTTCAGGAACATGAACTTCAAGCGCTTAGAAGCTGGCATGTTGGACCCTCCCTTCATTCCGGACGTGAGTAGCCTCCCCCAGCCCGGACTGAGCCTGCTCCCTGCGTCTCAGCCCTGACTTAGCCGAACGTCCACCCTGGGCCCTGAGCACCCCCTAGCCCGGCCCTGGGAACCAGCACGCGCTCTCTCCACAGAGGGGCAGACCAGCGGCCCCAAACCGCCAGCCCTCGTTTAGGCAGAAGTGACTTTGGAAACAGTCCCCCATCCCAATCCTGGGCGCTTTAGGGGAACAAAGACCACCTGACAGAGGAGTGGGGGCCCCAGGAGGTGCCGAGGAGTTGAGCCTGGAGACAGGTGACTTAGGGCGCATGCGAGAGCAGCAGGCGCCCGGACACCCCGAGCTCATGCGCCACCCTGGCTGGCCCCGCTGGCAGGTCCAAGGGCAGCGCAGGTTCCCGGGGTGGGGGGCCTCAGGCGGACCCTCTGCCCCCCCATCCACACCCCGAGCCTGGCTGGGGACAGTGGAGCTGAGGGCCGGCCCCTCGTCACCAAGCGCTCTGCCCCTCAGCCGCGGGCCGTGTACTGTAAGGACGTGCTGGACATCGAGCAGTTCTCCACCGTGAAGGGTGTCAACCTGGACCACACGGACGACGACTTCTACTCCAAGTTCTCCACCGGCTCCGTGCCCATCCCGTGGCAAAACGAGGTGTGCGGGCTGGGCGTCGGCCGCCCCCGTGGGAGGGGGCGCAGCGGCTGGGGCAGGAGTCCCTGTCGCCTCCTGGGACTTCGTGGGGTGGGGCCAGAAGAGGGAAGGGGAGGCGGGGCAGACAGGGCCAGCCCAGGAGACTCTCCTGGGAAGACAGGCTGGGAAAGGAGGAAAGTGGAGCCGCGGCTGGAGGCGCGTGGGGTTGAGTTGGAGTGAGAGCTGCACTGAATGAGCTGGAAATGACGGCGGAGCTGGTGGGGTGGCCTGGGCTTGGGTGGGGCGAGGAGGAGATGGGCGCGGGCTCAGTGGTGGACCCCCCTGCCTTCTCAGGGAAGCACCAGCAAGGCCGCCGGGGAAAGGCAGGGGCGGGCGGGCGCGTGCATCTGGGCCTCGGCCCTGGGAAGGCCCAGGGCAGCGGAGGACTTGGCAGGGCCCAACTCAGGGACAGTGCGGGCGCAGGGCTCAGCGCTGGGACTGCCTTCTGCCCAAGGAGCTGGCTGCAGCCCCTCCTGCCACCTGGGTTTTCTCTCCACTCTTCCAGATGATAGAAACAGAGTGCTTCAAGGAGCTGAACGTGTTCGGACCTAACGGTACCCTCTCACCGGACCTGAACAGAAGTCACCCTCCGGAACCACCAAAGAAAGGGCTGCTGCAGAGAATCTTCAAGCGTCAGGTGAGACCCCCCTGCCCCCGGCCCCATCACCACACGCGCTGTCCTGGCCCCGCTCCGGGGACCTGGGCCCAGGCATGTCCGCGCCGCTGAGACCCGAGCTGCGGCAGGCCACCTCCATGGGGGCTCTGGAGACGGGGGTCAGCAGCAGCCTGCAGCCCCTGGCTGGGGGGACCCCCAGGGTGGAAGAGGCAGGGCCAGCCCCACCAAGTTGCCCTTCATCGGGGTTTCTCTGCCAGGGCATCAGCGATGTTCTGGGCTAATTCACCGTGAGGGCTGTGCTATGCCTTGCGTGGTGCTTAGCAGCCTCTGTGGCCTGCACCCTCCAGAGACCAAAAGTACCCCACTCCCACCTCACTCCTGTTGCAAAATGTTCCCAGACAATGTCCCCCGGGGGCAAAGCGCCCCAGACAGAGAAGCACTGCCGGGTCTGGCCCCGGGCCTGCCGGGGAGAGTGCAAAGGGCACACGAAGCGAGGGGCCACTGGCCGCAGGGTGGGACCTCCCCAGACTGACTTGCTCTCTCTCCCCTTCTCTCTCCCTGCTCACCCCCTCCCAGCATCAGAACAATGCCAAGAGTTCGCCCAATTCCAAGACCAGTTTTAACCACCACATAAATTCAAACCATGTCAGTTCAAACTCCACCGGAAGCAGCTAGTGGCAGCTTGGCCTTGACATCCACGTTGGGACCAGCCTAGACCCTTGTCCTTAGAAGCGGAACTAGTGACCCGGGGAGTGTCCACGCTGGCTGGGCAGACGGGGGAGCCCTCCAGGAGCCGGGGACGGAAGGAGGCCGCCCCGCTCGACGCAGAGCCTGCGGGCTCCTCGGAGATGCCCACTCAGGTCTGTTGGCGGAGGTGGCCCTCAAGCCGGGGTGGACTGGATCTGTCTCTGTCGAATATCGCAATAGAAATCCAATTGGATACGACAACTTGCACGTATTTTAATAGCGTCATAACTAGAACTGAATTTTGTCTTTATTATTTTTAAAGAAAAGTTTTGTAAATTTCTCTATCGTCTCAGTTTACATTTTGTATATTTGTATTTAAATGAAAGTCAGACTTCGAGGGTGTATATTTTCTGTGCAGCCACTGTTAAGCCATGTGTTTTCAGACATTTTAGAGGGGGCGGGGGGATTTACCAAAAAAAATATATATATATATATATGTGACTCAAGACTTCCACAGCCTCAAATGAGAAAACGTTTTTATTAAATGTAGAAAATGATTCACATTTCACCTTTAAGGAATTGGTTGTATCCATCTCTATAACCTTTACCTTGCATTGATATCTCCCTTGTGTTGACCTGCAAGAATTAAAATTAAGCGCTCGGTGGCACGCTGGGGACTCCACCCAGCTGGGCTTGCGGGGCGCCCCTGCGGGATGCGCACTCTCCCGGCTGCTCTGCGGCCTCCTCTTCCTCCCGGAAGGCAGCCGCGTGCCAGGCTGGACATCATCAGCACAGTGGTCCCTGGGCCTCTTTCTTTCTAAGTAGGTTCTGACTGCTAAAGCCGGTGTGTTTTCAAGAGGCATGTGTTTGGGGACTTCCGTTTTGTTCGACTTTGAAGAGAAGCATAGCAGTGGTCAGGAGCAGTCATAAAGCCCCGATTGTCCCAAGCCCTCCCGGCCCATGGGAGCAGGGCCAGCGGGTCGCCCTGAGTGCGGCTGTGGGGTGGGGGGAGCTCACCTGGGGAACTGGGCACATCCCCTAAGTGTTCACAGGGCCACGGAGGCTCAACAGCTTCCCAGGCCCCATAGATTCATGGGCCCAGGCGGCAGGGACAGAGTTGGCTCTCCAAGCAAATGGGATGCCCAAGGGGAGGCCGAGCCACCAAAGCAGCACCAGACAAACTTGCTGTCCCCTCCCGGGAGAGGCGGGCAGAGGCCGGCTCTAACTGAGATCTCCAGCTGTCAGGCACACGCAGGCCCAGGAGGACTGGGAGGCTTTGCCAGGCCAGGGTCCCTGAGGGCAGCCCCTCGCCAGTGGGGCCCGGCCACCCAGGCCTAGGGAGCCCCTGGTCTCCCCCACTGTCTCCAAAGGGCAACAGGAGCCAGTCGCCCTCACCTCCCCTCTGGGACAGGGTGGGCCCTTGACCTGCCTGCTCCCCAGCCTGGCTGGGCCCCTGAGACCCGCTGGCCTCGTCAGACCTGGTCTCGGCCCCGGGCAGCTGCCAGCCTGCTCCCGGGGAGGCGCTGCACCCGCGTCTCCCTCAACACCTGGAAGTCTGCCTCTCCTATGAGCTCTCCAGGCCCCCTGACGCTCCGCAGGGGTGAGGACCACCGCCTCAGGCCCCTGGGGGGGGTCTGCGGGTGTGCCCTTCCCAACGCTTCTCCAGGCGGCTTTTAGGGAGGAAGTGGCGATCTCATTGGCCTTGTGTCCGACTTCCAGTCTCTATTTCGGACACCGCTCGTGGCCCTGGGGCCTACTGCTCGGAGGGGCTGGCCTGGGGGCTGAGCATTTTGAGGCGATTTGACAAACAAAAGGAAGAGAAGAGACCGTTGGGTTCCCCTCAGACCCCCTGGATGCTCAGGAGTCCTTTTTCAAGACCAACTCTTGTCTCAAGAGGCTGCTTCCATGACCCTTCTTGGGCTGAGCACAAGATAAATACAAATGGCTATATTCAGTTTTTGCCAAGATGTGGGAAGCCCTTTGACCAGTATTTTAAGGCCCCTGAGCTCTGCATGACCATCCTTTCTTAATGACAAGGACGGCCATCTTCCTGGGACAGTCACCAGCCCAAGCCACACCACTTCCCGTCCAGGAGTTTCGTTTATTTTACCCAATTCACAGCACCCCAACCCTTACCGAGGGGACTGACGTAGACAAGCCAGCCTCTCCTTATACCTCAGAGCCCAGCGCACGTCCACGGTGGTACAAAGGAACCCTCAAGGGGCAAGACAGAAAACATAAATCTGCTAAGTGGGTCTCTGCGCAGTGAGAGCTCAGACAGCGCGGGGCTGCCCTTCGCGTCCGCCTGTCCCTGCGAGTGCCCGGAGGACATGAGGACACAGCCCCTGGCCTTTTCGATCCGCCTGTTCTTTTTGGCCCATTGCTTCGCACAAGAGAAGGGAAGTCTTCGTTTAGAACAGTGCCTGCCGTCAGCCCTCCTCCCCCCCGCCCCGCCACGGGGCCCCGCAGGCCCCGCCCCCAGGCCCCGCCCCCCACCTCTGCTTCTACTCCGACTTGTGTCCTAGAGCTGCATTTTTTAAAAGGTATTTTTTAATTAAAGAAAAACCCTACTTTCCCACCCACCCCCCTGTCCAGGGTGAGGCTTATTTGGACAGAGTGGGTTTAAATATTTTTTACAGCATTTGAGCTCTTCGCAGAAGAGCCCCTCTTTCTCCAAGCGTGACATTGTCTCACCAGACGTGCGCTGACTTCGTGCCTTTGAGGTGAGATGCAGGGTCTCGCAGAAGCGTCCCTGCCTCCACTTTTCAGGAGACAAGCTGCTGTCCCTGGTGGGACAGGGAAGGTCTCTGCCAGGACCACTGGAACCGACGAGTACTGACCCAGCCCCCTCCGGGGGCCCCTAGCACCCCCCACGCTATCACGAAGACCGGCCCCCGCCTTCACCGCGGAGGGCCCCGCATCCCGCATCGGCTCTGTCTCTGCTCACCCAAGGCCTGGAGGAGCATCACGCTCTGAACCACGGGCTTCAAGGGCCGCTCGCTGGCCCGGTACTAAGTGTCGCTGTGCCTCAGCAGCCCAGGGGGCTTCGAGCACCTGCTTGTTGCATGAATGTGCTGTTCCGGCCGCGGGGGGGCGCCTGGTCTCGGAGCGTGGGTGGGAGGGAGGCCGGCGGCAGGAAGAGAGCCGTGCTCCATGCACACACGACAAGCAGCTTGCTGGGGCGCAGGGTGGCTTCTGACACAAGCAGGTGTGGCTGCCTGCCCGTGGCCTTGCACGCCCTGATGAGACTGAGGGTCTGCCTCTGGGAACTGGGGTCTGCTGGCCTCTCCCAGCAGCCCTGCGCACCAGGGGGGTCCCCATTCTTCCCCACGCCCGGCCTTTCCCGAAGGCTCGGGTCACCGATAGTTTCCCACCGACTTTCTCTTGTGGGCTGCCGACCCAGACCCCAACACGGGCGGGGCGCGGGGGAGCGCTGCAGCCTCGCCACAGGGAGCCGCGGCCACGTGGACAGCCAGAAGGCCACCGAGGCGAAGGGGGAGGCGGCAGGGTGGCGCCGGCTGTCCTCCCAGCTGCAGCGCACTCTCAGCGCCGTGCGAGCACTTGTGCCCTCCTTAGCGCAGCCTCCCCCGGGTGTCTCCTGTTCCCACCCGCGGAGGTGGGACCTCCTGGCGGCTCAGCCTTTGTCGCGGAAAGGGAGTCAGCGTTCTGAAGCGTCAGAGCTGTGAGCCGTGACCAGTGGAGAGCTCGCTTCTTCGGGGCAGACCCTGCCCAGGCTCCCGGGGGCCTTCGCTGGCCTGACTTTCAAGGCCTGTGCTGCTGACGGTGGTTGAAACATGTGACAAGCTGGCTGTCCCTAGGAAGGAGAGACATTTCCTGAAAAAAGAATCTAGATGTGTTTTCTGGTCCATCGATAAGTCATTTCTGTAATAGGTTGAAAACAAATGTTCACCATTTAGAAGAGCTTAGTGGCTGTTGGTAGTGTTAAAATAATAATCCTTCTAGTAGCCAAAGGGTTTTTTTTGTTTGTTTGTTTTCAGGGAAATTTTAACGTTGGTGAATGAAAATAGTTCCGTTTGGGGGGGGGGGGTCATTGCTGAAGATAATGGCTTTGTTCTGCTGCTCTAAGTCTCTGTATGTTCCGTCTAACATGTCCCAGTGCTGCTGTATCTAGATCCAACCGCTGTTGGTTTTTTAAGAGAAATAAATTCCTTAATGAAAATAACTGCATTTCTTCCCTTCTGCTGAGCTGTTGTCCTGTGCCTTCTGCATATGTCACACCCAAGATGCCAGCACCTGCCTCTGAGTCGACCCTTTCTGCAGGGTCAGCCCCACCCCAAGGTGGCCCGGACACCGGCCACCCCCTGACCCGCCCCCATGTGGCCCACCTCCAATGGGCAGGGCCTAAGGCTGTCCCCTGAGCCCAAACCCAGGGGAGGACCCGGAAGTGCTCCAGCCACAGGGCACCAAGCAAGAGCCCTTGAGAAGTTGGCGCTGGCACCCCGACCTCCGACAGGATGCTCACGCCCCTCCCCGGCGTGTCTTATGCGACAGAGGTCATGACCCGGAGGTGGGCTCTGTGGGGAGGGCCACGCTGGCTGCTCAGCCTCCACGGAGCCAACCACACGCTGGGACTGGGCCACCAGCAGGGCAGGCTCCCGGGTGCCTCCGAACCCAGAGTCCCAGTCTAGGACCTGAGACCCCTGCGGACCCCTCCCACCCTCGTGTGGGCGAGGCTCTGGGCTCGGACAGCCCCTTTCTGACTGTGCAGCCTTGAGTGGCCCCTCCACTCGGGGCCTCGGTGTCTTTGTAAAATGGGATAACACCTGCGCAGAGGGTGGCCCTGGAGGACGCAGTCCTGCGGGATGTCTGTGCGCCCCCTTTGATCCTTGACCTTGGGACCGGGCGAGGCCCCGGGGGCCCTGGAGCACGGGCATTCCCAGCAGGCCCGCGCGAGGGCAGCGCCAGCAGGTGGGGGCAGGGCTAACAGCTTGCTTCCGCCTGGCACCTGGCGGGCCTGGGGCCCCTCCCGCAGATGTAGAATCGCCATCAGTTCCTCCCCTTGGCTCCCCGAAGCAGGTGCCGTATTTCCTAATTAGAGGAAAGGAAGGAGGAAGATTCCACCTGTGGGAGACTCTGGACCTGCAGAGACAAAGGGGTTGGTTAGCCAAGGGAATGCAGGAGAGGCAGGAGTCTAGTGGCACCCCAAACCGGAAACATAAGGTGGGACCTCTGGAAGCCTGGCCCCAGCAGCCCCTCAGGCCGCCCTGGACGCCCCCTGCCATGTGATAGGCCTCCTCCCCTCTGGGCACTTGGCTTCTCTTCCTGTTCTCACCTGCCTGCCTCCCCCTGGACCTCAAACAGGTGCCCCTCAAATCCTGAGCACCTCAGCCGTCTCCTGGCTGTCGTCTCCTGGCCTTTCAGCCTCCGCTCCCGCTGCCAACTGCCCGGGCTCCCCACGCGTCCCCCTGAATCCTGGAGAGCTCACAGGAGGATGGAAGCCATCGGCGCCCGGCGGTCCTATTTGGGCAGAGGGCCCCAGACCGTGGCACAGCGCTGGCGGCCGGGCCCTTAGTGCCCCGGCCTTGGCCACTCCCTGCTGCCCACAGCGGTGCCCGGGATTGCCCGGGGCTGCCCCCTCCAGCACCTCCCCGGCCCGATTGCCTGCCGCCTCCCTGTTACCCTCCCTGCAGCCAGAGGCTGGCGTCTCGTGGGGTTTCCTAAGAGGAAGCTTATTTCATTTATCGTTTTTATTATTGTTATTTTAAAATGTTTCCTCAATGTAACAGAGGCCAACACAATGTAGGGCCCAGGGTACTGCGCACACGCGCCGTCCCCCTGCCGGCCGCGCCCGGCAGCCCTGCCCGCCCATTGCAGGCTCTTGCCCCCCAGAATGCAAGAGAGTACGTTTGTGTCGAGTTGAGCCGCTACGTTTGTGGTCAGCGTTGCAGCAGCCGTAGAAAACGAATGCGGCCACGGACGTCAGCCTCGTCGTTATGTCGACGGTGTCACACACTCAGGTCACGCTTTGCTCCGTACCAAGCCTTTTGAGTAGGTGTCTCCCTGGCTATAAATTATTTAAGAGCGTGAACCCTCTTTTTTTCTTCTCTTGGACCTCAATGGTGCCCAACACCCCGTGTTAAGACAGAAAAGAAAAAAGAATCTATTTCACAAGTTCAACATGTTGTAAGTCCTTATGTTTTTCTTGTTTATTTCCCTTTGGGCTTTGCGGGTTGTCAGTAAAGTTTCATTTGAAAACCCCTGCCGGCGTCCTTTCAGCCAAGGGAAACACAGGCACGGCGGCCGCGCTGCCCGCGCTTGGCCGGAGAGAAGGAAGAGGGGCCGCGAGGGCTGGAGGGCGGGCGCCGAGCCAGGGGAGCCGGTGCGAGCCCAGGCTCCGCCGCCTGCTGACTGCGACCCTGGGCGAGTCACCTCTGTAGGACTCCCGCACAGTCACTCCACAAACGGTTACTGAGCTCATGCAAGGGGCCACGCACTGTCTCCGCGCAAAAAGGAGCAAAAGAGGCAAAAGTCTTGGCTCTCACAGGGCTGACCTCTTAGAAGGGTGTGGACACAAATAAATCCAGCATGTGTTTGCGAAACACGCCAAGGAGAAGACAATACAGCAGGGAAACAAATGCCCTTCCGTAGGTGAGTGGTTAGTAAACGGTGGTGCATCCGGTATCGGGGGATACAGCTCAGCAACAAAAAGGTGGGAATCGTCGACACACAGCAATGAGGATGGGTCTCGAGAGAAGTGTGCATCATTCTCAGAATGTCAAAATTATGGAGACGGGCAACAGGCGAGAGGCTGCCAGGGGTTAGGGGTGACTCTAAAGGGTAGCACAAGAGAGACCTTTGTGATGACAGGATAGGGCTCTATCTTGGTCGCAAAGGTGGTCACACAAACCTGCACAAGCATAAAAGTGGCATCAAGCCCTGGCCATGTGGCTCAGTTGGTGGGAGAGTCATCCACACACCAAAAGCTTGAGGATTCGATTACCTGTCAGGGCATGTACCTAGGTGATGGGTTTGATCCCCAATCGGGAGGCAACTGATTGACGTGTCTCTCTCACATCAATGTTTCTCTCTTCCCCCATCTCCTCTCTCTAAAATCAATAAACACACCCTCGGGTGAGGATTTAAAAAAAAATGACATCAAGCCATCTGCACACTTGGACCCAGGTCAATTTCCTGGCCCTGATGCTGCATTACAGTGACGTAAGCTGCAGCCACCGTGGGGAACTGGGTGAAGGGTACACGGGACCTCTCTGTTCTGGCTCTGCAACTTGCTGTGAATCTATTATTTCAAAATTAAAAGTTCTTCTTTCTTTTTAAATTTTTTTTTTTTTAGATTTTATTTCTTTTTAAAGAGCGGGGAAGGGAAGGAGAAAGAGAGGGAGAGAAACATCCATGTGCGAGAGAAACATGGA